GCGAAGAGGTAAGGAATGCACTCAGAAGTGCTGACTTGCACCTTAAAAAAAGCACCTATTTCCATAGATGCTTATTCTGATTGGCTCAGAGCAATTCCCTGTCTCCAGGCTGCATCCACATCCTCCAAAGAACAGGCAAACAAAGCACCCAGGAACAGCTAACCGAGCAAGCTTCACTGAAACAAACCAGATGTCCTCACCTAGGTAACATCCCATTCATTTAAATCAGAAGTTCTTAAGCTATGGTCCATGGATGTTTAAGGGTCCAGAAACTGGGAAAAAGAAATACTCCACCCCCCCAGCCTGCACAAGATTTCCTTCTTGTTACTTTGGAACAAAATCTGTTTTAAATGCATTTTTGTGGAAAGAAGATCCATCTTTCTTCTGTTTTTTCCATTTCCTTTCTTGGTCCACTTGCTGTGAGACAATACGGTAAAGCTCTGCTTTTTACAGTAGTTTGAGAAGAGGGAAAGTCACACATTGGGGCAGTGGCATAACTAGGGGGTGTAGGGGATGTAGGGGGTGCAGACTGCATCGGGTGACACTCCAGAGGGGGATGTACACCAAGTGGGGATGGCATGGCAGCTAGGCAAGCAAGACAGGGCATTGCATTGGGACAGTCCACTCCCCAACCCCCCAACCCCCAAATATTGGGTGACATCAAGCACAGGGATGCCACTGCATTGCAGAAAGACCATTCACATTATCAGAGAGAATCTTTAAAATAATGGGATGATTATTTAATAATAATAATAATAATAATAATAATAATAATAATAATTTATTTATTTATTTATTTATTTGTAGCCTGCCCAATCACAAGGAATCTGGGCGGGTTACAGAAATAAAAATACATAAAATACAATACAATTCAAAATTAGTCCGTCTCCTACCCCCCTCCATTCCAATACTAAAATTACAATTAAACAATCACAATTTAAGAACAAAAGATACACAAAGTTTAAAAGAAAAGGGATGTATTTGGTAGACAGAGCAACGTAGATCACCTTGTGCGAGGAGAGGAG